ATAATTTTGACAGGGTGGTCCAGGTTATTTAGGACATGTAGTAGACGATGATTGCGAGCATGACTGGGATACAACAGACTTTGGTTACTTTGGTGGAGAGATTGTGGATTAGGGACAACCGGGAGTCCAAATAATACCGATATTGGAGCACTAGAGGCTGGTGTGAGTTCAGCCCCAAGGACTTATGAGACTCTACCAATGACTGGGCAGGAGCCAACACAGAGGAGACAAGAGGTCCATACAACGATTAGGGCTACACAGGCAATTTCAAGGCAGTCCTAGGACAGTCTTGAGAGTCAGGTTCAAGATTTCCTCTAGTTCAAGCCATCGACTTTTTCTGGGCAGGGGAGCATGGAGGACCCACAACACTTCATTAATCATATGGAGATTATACTTGAGGTAATGAAGTGCTCCAATCCCAAATGTGTAGAGTTGGCTACTTGCAGACTACATGATCTGGCATGGTCATGGTATAAGACCACAGTATCGCTGAGACCTTAAAAGGCAGCACCGATGACATAGGAGGAGTTTTTTACTGCTTTTATGGATCGGTTCCTATCAGCTAATAAGCTGGATTAGTTAGCAACGAAGTTTGAGTACCTTCGGCAGACCTCGAGTATGATAGTCCCTGACTATGACACTCGGTTTAATCTCCTTTCTAGATATGCCCCACTTTTGGTCATAGATGAGCGAGCTAAAGCGAAGAGGTTTATCTAGGGGTTAGTGGAGCCTCTGTTCTAAGTGTTAACCCCTCACATGGAGAAGTATACATATACAGAGGCAGTGGATGCCGCTCAAGCGATTGAGGCGAAGGGTTTTGAGTAGAGGGCTCTTAAGGAAACTAGAAAGAAAGCTAAGCACTCAAGATCATTCAGTGCTGGTCAGAGTTCTCACCTAGGGTTAAGTTTTCAGGTCAGCATCGCACTGCTCAGACTGGGCCAACACATTCTGGCCATTTATCTACAGCTATTTCAGCACCAGCTGATGATACTAGAAGTATGGCACTGTCAGAGTAGTATAGTTCAGTACCACAGAGTCAGAAGGCCCTAACTTGCCGTATTTGTGGCAATAGGCATCGAGGGTGATGTCACAAAGAAACTAGTGCTTGCTTTTGGTGTGGCCGCCAGGGGCACAAGATTAGAGGTTGCCCTCAGATGCCGATTGGTGATACTCAGGGAGTGGGTCAACCAGATGGAGTTGCTTCGTCGGTTCTTAAGCAACTGGTTCGAAGACAAGGGCAAGGTTCTAGTGGTAGGGGACGTGGCCAGTCCAGGGAGAGGCTAGGCACGCGTATATGCCTTGACTAGGTAGGACACTCAAGCGTCCAACGCAGTGGTGACATGTATGATTACTATTAGCTCATTCGACCTTGTTCACTATTTGATCCTGGATCAACTCATTCATATGTATCTCTGAGTTTTTATGCTCAATTCGATTTTTTGCCTATTGCTCTGGAGCAGCCTTTTCTGGTGGCTACTCCTGTGGAGGAGCCTATTTTGGTTGGTCAGGTATATAAGTCTTGCTTAGTTAGAGCGACAGATAAGGACTTCACAGCTGATCTAATTATCTTGGACATCACTGATTTTAATGTGATATTACGTATGGACTGGTTGACTTCTTGTTATGCCACTTGAGACTGCCGACCAAGACAGTGAAGTTTGAGGTGCCTAATGAGCCACCCCTCGTATTTTAGGGTGATTATAGCTTAGCCCCTGCTCGAGCGATTTTTTATATGAGGGCTAGGCAATTGCTCTCTAGAGGGTGTCTGGGATTTCTGGCCTTAATCAGAGACACCCGAGTCTCAAAACCTAGTATTGAAACAGTATCAATGGTGAGTGAGTTTACAGATGTATTTTCCGAGAAGTTGCCTAGTATTCCTCCTAAGAGGGAGATTGAATTTTGTATTGACCTAATTTCAGATACGCAGTCGATCTCTATCCTTCTTTATCGTATGGCACCGACAGAACTTAAGAAATTAAATGAACAATTGTAAGATCTTCTGAATAAGAGTTTCATTCGGCTGAGCACTTCTCCTTGGGGTGCTCTAGTGTTATTTGTAAAGAAAAAGGATAAGAGTATGTAGTTGTGTATAGATTACCGGTAACTCAATAAAGTGACTGTCTGTAATAACTATCAATTGCCTCGGATAGACGACTTGTTCGACCAGCTTCAAAGGGCGACATGTTTTTTAAAGATAGACTTGAGATTCGGATACCATTTGCAGCTTTTTGGACTTAACTAGATATTATCATCGGTTTGTAAAGAACTTTTTGAAGATTGCATCACATTTGATATGCCATTTTCTATTATTGCCCAAATTTTTGAACCATCGTGGGTGAGGGGTTACTAGTGACCATATATATCAAATATAATTGGCCCTTAGGTTGGGAACTAAATTTCTCTTTAAGGATAAAATATATAAAAACTATCTCCAATTTTCAAAAACGAATAACTGAAAATTGCAATAAAAGATAACTTACAAAAAGTCTCTAAATGTGCCTACAGACATCATATTTTAACATGAAAGATAGACTTTCTACATATAAAGTATTTTCACACTTTATAAATATCTAATGTGAGATCAAATTTTTCCATTTGTTTTGAAAATTGATTTTTTCACATTTTATAAATATCTGATGTGAGATTAAAAATTTCATTTATTTTAAAAATTCCTCTTACAATTTCTATGCATGTGTTAAACATAGCAACATTGAATTTCTAACCGTTTCCCATGCTATTCAATCCATCCCTCCTTGGGCCCACTCGATCTCTCTCCTTCTACACCAGTTTTGTCTTCGCTATTGTTCCCTAGACCAACCATATTAGTGCTCATGGCATTGCCTTCTGTTCACTCAATGTCCCTCAGCTTCGCTAATGCTAGCGGAAAGGGATACCTCGGACTCCTCAAAAATTCAACTTAAACATTTGCCAACATTTGAGATCGACGCGTTACAGAACTAAAACTTCAAGGACATCAACAACAACATGTGGGTAACGACGTTAACAGCTTGAAATCTATTGCTTTGCATCCTACCTCGTACTTCTCGGAGAAGGAAGGGAGAAACATGAGCATGGATTTAATCTGTTGGAGGCCAATTCAGGTTTGGATTGAGTATGATCAAGTTATTAAGAGCTCAAAATTAGACAGGCCTCTTTTATTCGCCACTGGCCAACTCAATTTTGGTTCTTATATGTTTCAAGGAAATAATAGTATTACGTTGTTATAATTGATTCTATAGGTTAAAAAAAATTTAAAATTATTTTGTTGAAAATAAAAAATTTCAGCAATGAAAATATTTTTCAAATTAAATTTTTTGAGAATCTATTTTTTTTTTATTTTTAAGGTGTTTCTGAAATCTTCTTCCTTTTTTTCCCTATTTTTTGGTTTCTCTTTCAACATTCAAGAAGAACAAAATAGATAAATACTGATTTTTAACAGTAATCTATGAACTTTTTTTGATGATAAAAGAGTATTGTTTTATAAACAAATTAATTATCAATAAAATTTACAACTAAACAATAAAAATTACAAGTAAATTTGAACTAAATTATATATAATATAGAAAATCAAGATTTTGGAGACTTTGCTTCCACCAGGACCAGTTGTTCACACGTTTGGTTAAATTCAATTTTGAAACTTTTTAAATCCAATCGAACACGTTAGTTTTGAATAGATTTAGATATAATCAATTTTTATGTACTCTCAAACTAAATATAACTAAACATGATTATCATGACTTAGTTTAGTTTAATTTGTTCAATTTAAAAATTTTTTTAAGATAATATTAATTAAATTTTACTTATTTAATAAAAAAAATTTTAATTAAACATATGGCGATTAAACATTATAAAATAATACATCATGTTTGCTAATTTCGACAATGACAAAGATTAAACATTAAATAATAGAGTTTTGACTTTATTTTTAATTATACATTAGTTTGATTTAATTTAGTAATTTTTGAAAAAAAATAACTAAACCATATCGATTGATTTTAATATTTTAAAAATTGATTTGAACTAATTTTAGTATGTTTTAATTAATTTTTAATCATTTCAATCTGAATTAGTTCGGTTAAATCAGTTTCGCTGGATTTTAAACGGCCCTAGCCAGGAATGCTGCAAACTTCTAGGCTGGTAATTAATGAAGTTTGTGGAGTCCACGTGGAACAAATTAGTTGTCAGAAGACTTTTCTAGTGGCTGAGTCAATGACACCTCCCCCCCCCCCCCCCCGGTGGGGGGTTTAGGTGGTCCGCACCCATTTAAGACTCAGCTGGCAGCCATTTCAACAGTAGATGTGTTTAAAATCTATCGTCAACTACACCATCTTGGTAGAAAAATTACACTCTCTAGTTCATAAGTATATAATTTCGATTAATACGGTTAAAAAATATATAATATATTATATGCATTTTCAAATTTAAAATATTTTAATTTTAAAATATGCAAATAATATAATATATTTGTCAAGAACATTAAATAAAAATTTATAAGAACAAAAAATTTAAAATTTCATTAAGATTAGTACAAAGGAAAAAGAAAAGAGAGAAGAGAACTCAAAGTAACTTGGGGCTTTTCTCCAAATGTAATACGAATTTGAAAAATTCAATTTCCCTTATCTTTATTTTTTTCCTTAAAAATTTGACATTTTTCATTATATTAAATAAAAATATTTAAATATCTAAAAGTAAATAAAAAGGGTTGAATATTTTTAGTTTCTACTACAACTGCAACTGAAGATTTGGGAGATCATTTGTATATGGGTACGAACTTATGAGTGAAAATTTGATTTTATTTTTCATTGTTTGAACAAGTATAGAGTAAGTGTTTATCAAAATACTTTTTGATAACAATTTATTATTTTTGATATTATAAAAATCTGGACAAAACGGTACTCTAACAAACAAAAATTACTCTTACAACATTGAACAATTATCCAGAAAATTCAAATGAAAAAAATACCATATCAACCAAAACCATACAAAAGAAATTTCAAAATTCAGCGACCACCTTTGAGCAAGGACTCATTGGTGATGGTAGCTACAGATATAGCAGAAGAAGACATCACGTTTGACGAAAGACACGACAACGGAAATTCATAGCACATCTTATTATCCACCCCGAAGCTTCCTTCACCGGCGGTATCCAGCATAACTTCGGGCATGGACGCATCGCCGCCAAGATACTGCAATACCTGCCTCATGCTAGGCCTTGCCGCCGGACTTGAATGAGAACAAAGCAGGCCTAACTTCAACACCAAACCCATTTCCTCCTCCGAATACTCCCCTCCCAAATTCGGATCGCTTGCTTCAAGAACAACTCCACTTTTCCATTTCTCTAACACCCCATCCACCAGAAGTAATGCCTCCGGCGTGCCACGTGGCTCGATCGGCCGTCTCCCACACGCTATCTCGAGCAGGAATGAGCCGAAGGCGAACACGTCAGTGCTCGTGGTTGCTTTCCCCGTTCGAGTTAGCTCCGGTGCAAGATACCCCACCGTGCCCACCACGTGGGTCGTGTCCGGGTTTGCCCCGTGGTCATACAACCGGGCCAATCCGAAATCCCCCAGCCGCCCGTTTAGGTCGGCGTCTAGTAGCACGTTGCTGGCCTTGATATCCCTGTGGAGAACCACTTGTTCCCACTCTTCATGCAAGTAGAGAAGAGCTGAGGCCACTCCCTTTATGATTCTGAAGCGCTGCGCCCAGTTCAGGCCCGGCTTTTGCTTCTTAAAAAGTAACTTATCGAGGCTTCCGTTGGGCATGAAGTCGTAAACCAGCAAAAGCTCTCCCCTTCGCCGGCAATACCCAAGGAGCTGAACTAAGTTCCGGTGTCTTAATCTTCCTATGCTGGCGATTTCGGCCACGAACTCCTTCATTCCTTGCTTTGAATCATGCGAGACTTTCTTCACGGCGATTTGTTGTTTGGAAGAGCGGATTATTCCTTTGTAGACCTTACCAAAGCCCCCAACGCCAAGAAGCTCTGTTTCTTTGAAGCCGTTGGTTGATCTGTAAAGATCCTTGTAGGAGAACCTATGAGTCCCGTATTGCCTTTCCCAATCTTCGTGTATTTCTTCGTACTTCTTTCTCCTCAAGGAATAAACAACTCCTGTTACTGCAAAAACCAGCAGCACAGACACTATAATCAGGGAGACGGAAAGCCCCCCAGTTGTCCAATTTCGTTTTCTGTTTTTCGGAATCGAAGGAAGCTTCGAGATTTCAAGGCTCTGGGCTTCCCCTGTCTTACTGAAACTCCAACCTAGGATGTAATGGTTACTCGCAATTGCTCCAGTGGAAGAAGAGAAGCCAACTTGCATAGAATTCAAAATAATCGAAGACAGATTGATGGGTTTCGAAAGCAGAGGCCGGTTTGGTTTCTGGGTTCCCAAGGGAGCTATTCTCACATCCATCAGATTCCGCACTTCTCTATAGTCAATCCAGACCTGCATTGGCTTACCGCTAATAAGCTTCAAGCTCCTGTTTACTCTTTCGTCATAGTAAGCGACAGAAGCAGCAGCAATTGATGACAATTTGTTCAGATCAATCCCCACATGGTTGTCGTCAATGTCTCCAAACTCGGGGTTGAAGATCGTATCGAGCTCAATTGCTAAAAGATGGTTCGATGATAGGCCGTCGTCGGAGGCATTGAGGAGACCTAGGTACTGGTTTGTGTTGGCTGTTCGGAAGTCAGTCGCAGGAGGCGAGATGGCGAAGGCGATTCCGTGGCCGCTGATGTTCTCTATTTCGGGGACCATGGCGAAGACGAAGGTGGTGGAGAAGGAAAGGCCATCGGAGAAGCTTATGGGGAATGAGTAGAAGGCATGGCCTATTTTATGTTTGGAAGTGTTGGTGAGCTGCAAGAGGCCATCAGGTAGTATTTTTGCGTTGCCATCGAGGTGGAGTTTGGCTTCTTTGAAGCCGTTGAAGATGAATTGGTTCTTTTGTTGGGCTGCGGCTCCTGTGGGATCCAAGCGCAAGCAGAGGAGGACGAGAAGAAGAAGATGAAGTGATGGCGAAGAGGTATCCATTTGAGCTTTGGAAGTGGAGGTTATTTTGTCTCGAAGATGGATTAAAAAACGGGGCATTGGATTTGATATTTGGGATTAACACGGGCAGATGATTGTTTCGTGACTGAAAAATCATCTAATTACATAATTATACGCGTCACCTAAAAAAATATCTGAATATGCGGTTCACAAGTCAGAAATTTTTTCCACCCAGTCAATGCTAACGTCAACAGGGGAAGAGGAAAGTGTCCCACGGAGATGGAAAATAGGTTCGTAGGATGCGTTGTAAGGAATCATTGCGGGATGTTCTCTATGCTACTTCGCTCACAAAAATATGAATAGGACAAGGTAAAAACTCACAAAAATCATTTGACATATATATAATAAATTTTATTTTTGATAGATACATTTTGTTTATATTTTTGTAAAATTCTAAAATATTTAATTATAGATGTGTTCAATTTTAAATATTTTTTTAAAATTTAAGTTTTTGTGATAATATAAAAAATCAATTTTTTATAAAATTTAATTTGTATTAAAAATTATGCTTATGTAAAATTTCATATTTAAATTTTTTAAAAAACATTGTATTCTCACTGTTAATACCGAACGCTTTAAATTAACCTTCACTTCTTGATAAGGAATTATATTTTTTCATAAATTAAATAATTTTATAAATACAAGTTAAGATTTGAATACAATATGAAATTAGTTTTATTTATAACTTTTCTTACATATGTTTTCTATTTTTGGTGACTGAAGGGGCCGAAGCCCAGAACAAGAAATTACACAGATCTAGATCTACATACACTAAGATGTCTTGGTACAAAAAAGTTTTCAGTGAATGGGGAGGGATTGCCCATTCTCTCCTGCTCGGATCACTAGAAGGGCCCAACTTGGTAAGATGATCTACACATTCATTGTTTTCTTTACAATTATGGGAAACTTCGACCTGCCATTGCCTCTGCAACATGGGCTTATTTTAGAAATAAGAGGAGAGACCTCAAAGCCACCATTATGTTTCTCATATAAAATATCCATATTTTTCTTGGAGTCCGTCTCAAGAAAAATCCTTCCACAACTCAAGTGTCAAGCCAACTACAGACCCTCCAAAACTCCTCACACCTTTGCTACTATTGTTGAGGCAACTCCAATATTTTTTGAGAAACTTCTAATCCAATCTCTCAATAATCCTCCGCACCTTCATAGAAATAGGATTATATGCTCCATCTATATTCATCTTGACCCATCCCTCGTAGTGGAGGGTCCACCTATCCTGGACATCACTCCTAGGATTAATACTGTGTACCACTAGGCAACCTCTTAGACCACTATCCAACATCCACTAGTCAATCACTCTATTTGGATTTAACAATCTTTGAAATTTCTCATCAAAAATACTCCTATTCCTCAATTTCCACAATAGCTATATTGTAATTGCTCACCTACTAGCCCCTATCTAGTCTAGTCTAGTCTGCAAACACTATAAATGCCCCATTATTTAGATTTTAGCCACTCCACAAGATCCATCATGTAAAAATTGGCTCTCAAGGTTGAGGGAATAATCCTGTTCCACAACTCCATTGCCTCTGGACAATCCCTAGGCACATGAATAGTAGACTCTGTTATATGATCGCATTCCTCGCATCTCGGATCACAATTGCTCCACCTTGACCTCCTCTCATTAGTATTTAATCTATCATATAGAGTCATCCAAATGAAAACTCGCACTCTCCCAAAAACCTAAAGCTTCCGCACATTATTCCAAATCTTATTCCCATCAGGCTGGTTATACTCATGAAGAATCTTATAGGTATTTTGCAAACTGAAATTTTCATACTCTCACCAGGCCAAACAGTCTTATCAAAGTCCCATTGTCAATAACGGGGGAGGAATGGCAAGACATCTAACAATGATGGCCAGGTCAAGACAGCTATTCAACTTGGTCCAATTCCAATCTCCATTGGCCTCAACCATTTCACTCACTTTGCACTCAGGATCATCTAGCCTAGCATCCAACTTAAAGTCAGTTTCACCTTCTTGTCTGAGCAATAGTCTTTCCAGAAATTGCCAACCTCCCATATCCCACAACACACACCTCGAACCTCGATAGAATGTTCCACCCCCTAATAGTGTCTCTCCAAAGCTTCGAGTCTGAGGGCTTTAGGGAGATAGAGCACACCCAGTTAGACTCTCTCCCATACTTGCCTCTCAGAACCTCTATCCATGGGTCTGAACTTCCTTGTTTAAGTTTCCAACTGAGCTTCATGATGTAAGCATCATTCTTCCTCTAGAGGCTTTTCAAACTTATGCTACCTTGATTCTTAAGAATGCACATGGTTTGCCATGACACCAAATGAAGCTTCCTAACATTCTCACCATATCCCCAAATAAAGTTCTTTTGAGTTTTTCCCAACTCTCTGATAATGGACATAAACAACCTATAGATAGGGAGTGAGCCGATAACAAACTTAGCAAGTGTCAATCTACCCACTAGAGAATTTTTGTTATATATATAATCTCAACTTGGACTCCACATTTAAAGCTACGCTTGAACTTTGAAGCTTAGTTTTTAGAAAAAAAAAATACTAAGGAAAAAAATAGAGTATAAACTTTTTTATGTAATTTTCACGTATCTAATTAAACAATCATTTTAAATTTTTATTTATTATCAACTCATATATACATAATCAAGCAAAAGTTAATTACTAAAATTTTGACTACCTACGTCATTTTCAATTTTTAGAATTTTGTCTTTGGAAAAATCAATTTTTCAAAACAAAGGCAAATTTATATTAATATTAATAAAAAAAAAATTTAATCAAAATAGGTTTTATACTGTTCCCGTTGAGAAGTCGAGTCCTCGGGACCCAATTTTAGAGAAGAGCAAAGGGTGGCCGTCAACCAAGCAGAACAAGGAAGAGGAAGGAGCAGTAACCGAAGGCAAAGGCTAAGAGAGGCAGAAAAGGGTGGCGAGTAGGACATAGGCAGAGGAAGGAGGAAGGGGGCGGCAAGTAGGGGTGGAGGCCGAGGGAGGATGAAGGGGAGCTTATGGGCAGGGCGAATGCAAAGTAAGGAGGAAAAGAGGTGACGGGCAGGGTGCAGGTAGATGAAGGCGGAAGAGGGGTAGCGGTAGGCAGAGGCACCATTGGCCACACCTTTAGGCCCCGATTTCTGTCTATGTCCACTTCCTGGGCCGCCACCAACCTTCTTCTCCATCTTTGGCCAACTTCCCTCACCTTTGACCTCCTTTTCTGAGTATTCCAACTATTTAGCACATTGAAATCACAAACTCGGTCCCTAGAACTGACAATAATGCTAAACTCACATGGCTATTGCACTCGCCTAAACTCCATCTGGTTAGAAATGGAGGAGAGAAGTTAGAGAGTCTAGACCATGGAGGCTGCCGCCGCCCCTCTTCCTCCACCCTTGTTGACCACCACCCTCCTTCCTCTTCCTTGTTCTGCTTGGTCGACAAGGCTTCCTTGTGCTGCTTTTCTCTAAAATCGGGTTCCTAATACCTGACTTCTCAATGGGAAGAGTAAAAAACCTATTTTGTTAAATAATTTTTGAAAAATATATTTTGATAAAAAATTATTAACATTAATAAATTTGCCCCAATACAAAAGATCCTGGTACTGAGGGAAGCCAGTGGAAGTTTCCCAGTCCCCCTGGCCAGGGGAAATTCGTATATAGGATGTGGTTTAAAGTCTTTCCAACTTGTTCTCTCATATCATTATTCTTTCGTGGAAAATGCAAAATTGAAAGGCAGTAGAGAATTTTTATATTTTTGTATAACTTTTTTAAATTAAAAATGATTGTTTGTTGACTTTTTAAGTAAATGAAAGGGCAAAAAAGGGGCAGAAAAGACACCTGATAAGGCCCCGGCGAGCCGGTGGCCCTGCCGTGGAATTTGGCTCTCCCATTTAAAATATTTTTTGTCATTCTTTTTAGTCAATTTCAATAATTCTCTTTATTATAAACTATTTAAAATTTTGAATTACTAAAATATATTTACAAATTTAATTTCTTAAAAATAGAGTTCGTTTCAATTTTATAATAAATATTTTTGTAAAATTAGAAGTTGAAATTTAAAGTAACAATGAATGAGTAGAAATGAATTATAATAAGAAATTATATGTATTTACAAAACATGTTACAAAATTTTTGAAAGTAATAAAATATACGTTTTGAATGTAATTTTTGTAATTTATTTTAGGAAAAGGAAAAAATTCTAAACAATTGCATGGGATAATTTTTGATTTAATAAAAATTTTAAAAAAATGTCTAAAATAACTTATACTTAATTCCAATACTATGAGTAACAGTTAGAAGTCTCCCTCAACTATACTTCAATAATTGACTTTCAATTTTTTTATTTAAATTAAAAGAAACCAAAATTAGAAGTAAATTTTCAAATATTTCAAAAGTGATTTTGTATATTGAAAATATCAAAATCTTTTCTGACAAATTATTACAAACACCATTTCAGTCCCTTGCCATGACCCTGAACAAAGGTTCATACCCGTTGAAGGACAAGTACAAAGAAATTTAACCTTGGCCAAAGACTAATCCATGTACAATGAACAGGGAGGTGGCCCCCTTTAAATTTAAAAATTTTGTTAGTAATATAATATAATTAGTATATAAAAGTAATTCCTCACCCCCCGGGAGAAAAAATTTCAGCCCTTGCTTTAGACAATAACTTATATAAATAGATTAAAAATTTAGAAATAAAATTAAAATAAAAGAAAATTACGTGCAACAATTAAAAATCTACAATAGAAGAACAACAATATTTAAGAACTGTTTTAAAAATATATAAGAGCTAAATTGTAAAACTGCAAAAATAAGTAAAATAAAATGGCAGCAATCTACTGTTCACCTATTTCTCAGTTAACCAATCGTCCTCTTCTAGAATATTGCATCAATAGTCGGTCCTTACTTTAGGTTTCTTTTGCAGACTGAGCAGCATTTCAATCAAATGTCGTCTGCCATTTCAATTGAGAGAGCTACGGAGA